CTCCTGGTGTGGTGAGCTACATCTCTGGGGGGACATGCGCGTCGCTGCTCGCCCATGTGGTGGAACGTGGCGTGTGGGACTGCCATGGCGGGCGAACTCCAGCGTCAAGGCTAAAGGCAGGCTGCCATGGGATGGACTCGCCGGTGGCATGGTCTGGCAGACAAGTGTCAGGGCCACGATCCATGATGGCTTGTGACACCCACAAGACCCAGAATACAGTCTAGAGCTGCGGGAAGAGCACATCACGAGATGTAATACGGCGCTAACTCCAAGCAGCCCGTCAAATTTCAAACACGACATAAATATCCTCAACGCCAATATCCACAACACATGTCCGATAATATGACATGATTTGTTGTGCCAAGTGGCATACTGATGTGGCGTGTGCCAATCTTCAGGTGATCGCTAGCACTAAACAGGTGTACACTCTAGACTTGACGCCTATTGTCAAACGATAGGATTTGCAACAAACTTAAAATATGCCCCGGGTGAGGATCGAACACACAGTCCTCAGATTATGAGACTGACGCGCTGCCTACCGCGCCCCGAGGCCTGTATCATAAAAATGGGGGGCTGCAGCAGCGCCCCGCACCTGCACAATGAAACAGTATTCGAATACCGATTTGGGGAGGGGGTGGATGAGTATGACGTTGTGTCTCCCAATTTGTTCTCGTCAACAGACACCACTCGCTATAACACAAGCCCGGGCAGCGGTACAATACCACGTGCCGTGATGGAGGAAGGGTAATTTAGCCCCTTCCGTGAAATAGCAAAAACTATGAGAGCTTTAAAAATAAAATGCACACCATATATAGGCTTCATGTGAAACACTTTGTGTTTAATTATAAGTCTTCTGTATCATGACCTTCAGATGAAATCATGTCAAACAGTGTTCGTAATGGTATCAATGTCTTGACTGATCTCAGACCTCCTCACGCAACCAGCTTTGACCTCAAAGCTTTTCCTCAGCATGGGGTCACGGAGTTCATTTCAGGTCAGCGGCGTAACCTGATCTTACCAAGATCAAAATAATCTCAAGTCCTCTGTGATTATTTGGAATATTCAAGTAAAACCCGCATAAAAACCCCAAGGTAGCTCTCTATTGACTTCCTTGAAATGCATAAATTCGAAAGAAGCTTCAATAACTACGCCATCAGCAAGTTCTGAAGCAAGAAGGTGGTAGATTTCCAACTGATCTGATCTTAACACCTAAATTAAGGTCATCGAACTTATTTTTAATCCTAATTTTACTTGTCTCAGTGTCAAAACACCATATTAACGTTTTGTGAAATTGTCACTGATATGCTGTAACAGGTTGAAAGATTCCGCGTGGTTGAAGGGCATGCCAGGAACCACGGTTATTTGCCTGAATTATTTTCCAGGGTGTGACCCATCTTGCAAAATACAGGATTAACATTCGACCTAGTGGGGTTCAATGAGTCCCTGAGGCTCTCCGCACGTTGCGGCGTAGCGGCGCCAAACTTCGCGTAGCTATTGGCAATTGAAAACTGATCACGTGGCTTGAACATCTCAGTGCAGCTGTCCAGGTCGCTGACCTTACGTCGGTTTAAGTCAGACAAAGGCAGCCAGCGAGGGTACTCCTTAGGGAATGCTTAGGGGGTATGCCGTCACCCGTCGAAACTGATGCAACAACGGAGTGCTGGATGATTCCACATATCTTTGCGGTTGTAGCTTAGCCAACAAGACGATTCAAATTATGATTGCAACTTACTTAAGCGACTTTAGTTAAGTAATGCTGGTCGGAACAGGTCAGAACATAAAAGCTCTTTTCTTTCAAGAAATGCTTACAGGTGTAAGGGGTTTTGCACTGAAATAGGCATCTCAAAGGTCATTCGGTGTGGTTTGCAGCCGTGCACTTGTTTAGGCATACACCCCCTTTAGTCCCTGAGCTACACGCCTGGAGGAAATGTGCAGGCTATTTCAGGGAGACTATTTCAAGGCCACCCAGGCATCCGTGACGCCATAACGTCATTCAAACACTGCCATTTTATTAGCCATGCGTTGGTCAAGGCCAAGGAAAATAAATTCCGGTTGTTCAGATTTGATGTTCGTGACGACGGTTTCCAGATAAAACGGTGATCAATTTGGCTCTCAATCGATGTTGTGTAAGGTAAGATGACATAATCAAAACATGACGTGTTGAGCAGTATATCCACTAAACCGAAAAAATGCACTGTCTAGGACGACTTTTCTACTTTAAAGTGAGCCAATAGTTCTAAATGACCAATTTCATATCCATTGCTTTTCCCAATATCTTTAAGCAGCACATTTACATTTTTGTATGCGTACATCTACAAGCATAGTTACCAAACAGAAAAATTACGTTGTTTAGAACAACCGTTGTATTTGAAAGTATGCCAAGGGTTATAAGCGAGCGTATTTCACCATATCTGATGCTTCTTCTAATGCTTTTTTTAAATTGGCTCATTCCCTAATTTATTATTTGTGCGACCGGAACACTAATCATCAGCACCAATACCCCATGTCAATAGGCCCCCAACGCCAATATCCCATCACCAATAACCAACCATCCCGGATGGGTTGGTAATTGACCCGTCGTTTCAATTTATGCATCACAAGGACGCCAAGATGCATCTCATATTGCCTCCATGAAGGTCAGGGGAGTTCACTGACCTTAAATAACCTGAATGTAGTTTCGTATTGAGGATGATGTTATCCGAGTTATTTGAAAATGATTTAACCCTATCTGTTATATGTATATATATATATATATATATATATATATATATATATATATATATATATATATATAACATATAGGGTTATGTAACACACACACACACACACACACACACATATATATATATATATATATATATATATATATATATATATATATATATATATATATGTATGTCATGGGTCGGTTAGGACACCGATATGCACCTGGACACTGACATCATTTCACCTGAAGGTCTCGACGTAGAGCACTACAAATTGAGCGCAAAATAAGCTCACATGGAAGGCTAGCTATGGTGTTGGTTTAATATTGTAAGCTCGCCCAGTTTTTGCTATTTCAGGGAAGAGGCTCAACTTGACCCTTCCTTCACCAGAGCGCGTGTTACTCAATCCACCTCCCGGGCATGTGCTCTAGCGAATGGTGTCTGTTTGGAAGAATAGCTTAAGAGACATTAGAGTCCTTCCCACCCCGCCCAATCGCTATCCGGGCACCCGTTCGCTGGGCTGGCGCGTGGCGTATTTGAAGTCCTAGTTCTTTATGATACAGGCCTCGGTAGCGCAGTAGGCAGCGCGTCAGTCTCATAATCTGAAGGCCGTGAGTTCGATCCTCACCCGGGGCAAGTTTTAATGTGTTTGCAATCGCTACCGCTTGTCATAGGACGCGTTTGCTAGGATCAGTTTAAATGTGAAATCTCATCCTCTGAGCTGACATGTGCGCGAATGGCATGTTGGATACCCTTCGCTCGGGTGAGGGAGGGGTCGATTTAACGACCCTGAGATATCAGGAACTCAGTAGCCTAATACGCCAAATTCACGGGGGGTTTTGGACAGTGCGTAAATTCACTAATGTCGAAACTTGAGGTTCCCGGGTCATAACCTTCCCTTGGAATAAGGTCAAACGATGGTTAAACTCCGGGACTGGTGTGGTAAACTGGTAGACTCTGGTGTCCAAACTACCCCCATAATCCAGATACCTGTTTAAGCGAACGCCCTCTGATGCCAATTTAAGGTCAGTGTCGTTGCTTGATCTTTCGAAGGACATGGTAACCAAAATCATACAATAGTGCTTTGAGTTTTGTGTTTAACTAAACGTTAAAAATTATGGTAGGCAGTATGTTTCTAAAAACGAAATGGATGGGATTTAACGATTCATGATTTGCACATTGAGAAACATTCCGATATTGAGTAGAATGCTGCATAATTGAACGTAGAAATAACGAAGCGTTTTCCTAGAGGCATCAGTATTCGAGGAAAGCTTCTTTCCATCTCTCTGCGGCGCGTATTTTCCTTCTCTTGTCATCACCGCGCTGAGTTAAATTTTCCCCCGGTTAACACGCGTTCGGGTAGGGGTCAAATTACCCCTCCCCGAAGGTTTTGCCAGAATGCTTTCCGAACGGCGCGTCGCAGCCGCGCCAAATTGTGCAAAGCTGTAAACAATTGAATAGCAGATCGTTTGGTATCCAAAATTTAGAAGTACCTTGTAAGGTCACTGACCTATGACAGGTCAAAGTCAGTCCATGGTTTCGGCGAAGGCAATATCTAGGGATTCCTTCAATCTGATCCAACAATGGAGCGTTAGACGAAACCATACATCTCTGAGATGTTTTTTTTAAGGCAATACAACAATTGATTAAGCAAATTGGATTGACCTAAGGTCAGGCATGAAGGTCAGACCAAGGTCAAAGCTAACCTGTTTTGTTTCTCTAGGGCTTGCCATATGGGATAGCTTCTGGTGCTCATTTCGAGTTTATTAATAGCAAGAACCGCATTATACATCTTCCATGGTGTTCTTCGAAGTCAGAATAGGTCATTGATGTTTTTGGAACATACTGCGTAGCACAATCTTTGTCGCTGATTAAAAGGCAAAATTCAAAACAATCTTGCATGATTTTGGCCACCTTGACATTCAAAAGATGAAAAAAGGTCACTAACTTTAAATGATAATGTTACCTCTTGCTTAGAAATGGTTATCTTGGTTCTTGGGGGCACTTTGGAAGCCAACCTGGAACTTGACCTTGTTTGGGCTTTTTGACCTGAAGGTCATAACCTAGGAACCTGAAACTCTGACTTAGTGAGTTCACGTACAAATCAACACACCCTGTAAATTTGGTGTCTCCAGCAAATGACCTCAAAATGATGGCAGTAAAACTTCAATATGGTAGCGAAGGGTGTCTCCGGTAATGCCGCATGAGAGTCAAAAGTGAAGTATTCTAGAAGTTGGCGTATTTGCATCAATTGAGGAAGTTTACAAGGTGGGTGGGCGGTAATTTATCTAATGAAATATGATGAGCTGGTTGAATATTTCATAAACATCTCTGTGTATGTGATTATAAGGCATGCAAGTCTCACGCTTTTTGGAGGCCCAGCTGGTAATGTGGTCCCTCCTTAGAGTCCTGATAGCGTGCACTAGTCGCCGAGCATGGGGCCTTGGCCCGTATTGCTAGAAACAACTGCTCCTTTTGCTTGTGCTGTACCGTTTGACCAGTCATTTTCATGATGTCTTTGTATGCTGTGATGCCAAACTGAGTGTGAGTGGAGTCTTAACATGGATAAGATTGATAATACCTCATAGCAAATTTTTGTGAGCAAATATGTATATTTTATGTTACATGACCAAATTTTGTGCTGATGAAGGAGCATATACACAATAGACACAGCATTATCAGCCCTGATCAATATCATAATGTTTGCCAGGTGGCCTGCTGCTTCATAATGGTGACTTGATGATGCCACTGTGGGAAATATGTTTCATAGTACCTGCCAAGAAAATTTAACTTATTACACCCAAATGCATTCATACCTGTTTCTGAATCTAAAGATTTGCCTGAGACATTGCTTGCTGTCAAACTACCTTTTGGTTTTTGAATGTCAAAGTAAAGAGGGCAGGTAAATCACTATTGGGTATGCTCAGACTTATTTTCACAGAACCTCAATACTGTGTTTAAGTAAAACAAGGGGACAAAACCAATTAAAAGCTTTATTTCTGCTTCTGTGCAGGATATAAACTCTTCACAAAAATGTTGTAAACATTTTTTGTTGGTCAGTAATAACTTCTGAACAGGTTTTTAGGGAGCCAAACAGAGATTGATAGCTCATTAAATGAGATATTTTGTAGGCATTATGTGAAAATAAATAATTGACATTGCAGTTAAAGGCTTTGCAGAATGATAAGGGCCAGGTAGGGTTGCCTTAGAAAATGATTGATTATTCAGACTGTCATCCTTTAAGGTGTATACATATATGTCATGTTTTGGCTGGTTAATTCTCCAGTCATCACCAGGTCTTATTAAGTCCTGAGAAGAATTAAGTGGTGTTAAGCTTTCAGCCATGCATGCATCACAACCAAATGTTTTTGAAATTGCTAGAATTCAAACTAGGGTCTTCTTGTTACAAGTCCGGCCATGTACCATTGAGCTGCCATTGAAATACAATATTTTTGGCCATTAGAATTCCCTCTTTTCATTCCAGGGATGTTTGGGATGTTTTGGTGAGCAGAATTTACAGACTTTTAGGCTGATGTCCATGATTGATTTTCTGATGGGCTTGTTGGCCAATGTCATGTGTGCTTTATGTGTAATCTGACTCTGCAGTGTTGCTCTCTGTCAATAATTGCTATCCCATCTGATGTCAATCAGCAATCACTTTCTAATTTTGCATTTTCTGCTGTGACAGACTTCAGAGTCTGACCTTGGGTGGTTTCTTGTGTATGCTGTTCCAGTCTGACCAAAAAAGGGTGACTTGTTTCCCCTCTGTATAACCTGCCACTGCTGGATGAATGTTGTATGTGTATTTGTTCACATGCTTCTTAGGTGTCAGTAAGGGATCTTCAGAGTTTGAGCTACCCTACTGTCCTGACTGTATTGATGTTTAACTGCCCACAGATTCTTTTGATCTTCTCTGGCAGTCCCCTCTTTTAGGAAATGATACTGTTGCTGCTGATTTTTCCTTTGGCTGCCCTCCAATTTCAGCAAGCTTTTGGGGCTTCTGGCACTTATAGGTATCTATTCCTGTGGAATGGCTCAGTCAGGGGATATATTTCTTTCTGGTTGCATCCCATTCCCTTTGAATGTCTCAGTCAGGGGTTTGTCCCTCTCTTTGTGGCTGTGTCACCATCCTTGTTGATACTTGTGTTTTGTGTGGTGTTTGAAGGGATCTTCAGTGCATTTCTTCACAGTGTCTAGGTGATGTGACCAGAAGTTCAGGTGGCTACAAATTACTGCTGGTTTCTGACTCACTGGTTGCCCAAATTAATGGCTAGCTGTCTCTTAACTTGTGTGTTTGAGAACAGCAGCCTGTTGTCCTGATGTGTCATAGTGAAGTGGACAGATGATTGCAAGCTGCTGTGGTCCAGGAATGTCGTTATGTCTTCCTGGTATTGCCAGAGGACGGCTGAAGCGTCGACGTAACGCAGCGATGCCAATGGTTTGAGTGGTGCAGTTTCCATCACCATGTCTTGATAATGTGCCCTGCAGATGTTGTCAATCACTGTAGACAGAGGGGATCCCCTGGTCATTCCGTCGGCACGCTGGTAGCGTTGCCCGTTCAGCTGGAACGTAGTTGCGGTGACTGAGAACGTGAGTAGCTCCATGATGTTAATTGGATTGCTTGTGTTTTCCAATAGACTAACGTCGTCCTCCAACCTATTCCACGCATTGGTTAATGCTTCAGGTATTAGTATTGCCCCGAATAGGTTCGTCATGACAATTCCCACGAAACCGTTCATTTTTTATGCCACGTCATGCTGTCTAGTACTTGCGATAATGAGACAAAGTGGGTCAAGTTCTTTTCCTTCCTGGACGGTGATTTGGACTGATAATTCAGCGATCCCGTAGCTGTGTTGATCCAGAATCACGCGATTAGAGGCTGCCGGGGTTTCGGAATTCACACGCAATTTTCACATTTTAAGCATTGTGTAATGAGCATCGCTGGTAGTATGTGAAACAAACAAACATATAAGCTAACTTTGTTTAACACATGAAGTGAAGAGATCGTGTGGTTTTTAGTCCAAAACTCGCGCCGTACATTGCGAACTCTCGTAAAAGCCAGTTGCGTTCTGCAACTAAGAACCATGCCTGGCATCGTTTTGCACAGTGTCAGCCTCAGAGCTAGTGCTCATTCCTCGCGCGCCGCCTCCTCACGCACGCGGCGCAACAGGCCATATTAGCCGGGGACCCGATGGCTAGCTATACCGACTGTTGAGTTGTGGCAGGTCGACCGTCGTAGCATGGACGAACATGTCCTGTGGCTCAGTTACTGTCTGTGCATAGTAGCGGAATGACCGACGAGGCGAGCCGGGCGTTTTGGGGCGTTCTGAGCTCATGGTGTGCATCTCTTTAAATGTCAACGCTGCCAAAAAGATGTGATTTAGTGGGGATTTAAAGGAAGCGCAGTGTGCGACACTCATGGGACACACAGCGAAGCGTCGTAATGTAAAGAACGCTGAAAATATCCGGAGGTTCCTCAAGAGGAGTCTATGTCTATCTCAAGAGTAAGCATGTTGGTATGGATGTTGCTAGACTATCTCTTCAGGAAGACATCTCATTTTGAAACCGGCGAAGGTCAGGGTGAGAGCTCCAGGTCTACAGCACTGTCTGTGAAAGAAACTCGGGCCTTGAATTTCTGCTACGTATGGAAAACAGACGATGACCTGGATACTGTTCTGGCCAGAACATGCACGAGAGATGGACCATTTAAGGAAAACTCTGCATTGTCGGCTGGTTTAGAAAAGAAGTGCTCAATCCCAGGATCTCGGTATATTCCGGGATTGAACTTCTCGAAATCCCGTCATCCCGGGGTTGCGGACAAGTCCTGGGATTATCAGCACCAATGGTGATGCATTCCGACATAGAGAGCTCACTTTCTTGACCAGGGAGCACCTGATTGGATGGCAATCTGAACCCCTGAAGCTGACAATGCGTTCTAGGGGTACAACGATCTTGCGTAGCTTTGATATTTGTTCCCTGTGTGGCAGTTTGCTGTAATGCCGAGTACGGCATTACGGTGTGGCAGTTTGCTGTAATGCTGATTACGGCATTACAGTGTGACGACAGTTTGTGCAATGCTCATTACAGCGTTACAGTGTGGCAGTTTGTGTAATGCTGATTGCGGCATAACGGTGTGGCAGTTTGCTGTAATGCTGATTACGGCATTACAGTGTGACAGGTTGTGTAATGCTCATTATGGCATTACGGTGTGGTGGTCTGCTGTAATGCTTATTATGGGATTACAGTGTAGCAGTTTGCTGTAATGCTGATCACGGCATTACAGTGTCACAGTTTGTGTAATGCTCATTATGGCATTACAGTGTGGCAGTTCGTGTAATACTGATTACAGTATTATGATGTGGCAGTTTGCTGTAATGGTGATTACAGTATTACAGCATGACATTGTGTGCAAGGCTGATTTGGATGCTCGTATTGAACAGCCAGATTATCCTTATTCTTCTGTAACAGCTTGGTCAATGTCCGTTCAGTTGTTGACATAGGACCTTTCTCCAATTTGCTTTGTTACTGGTCACTCACCAAGTTCTTCAGCTTGCGAGTGCACTGCGCTTGGCAGTTGACTTCTTTGACATTGCCTTTCTCAGTGGGAATATGATGATGCTGCCATCATTCTTGAGCGTTTTAATGGCTGGCCGTTCTTCGCTGGTCACAGTTGGCTCTGGTTATCGAGCCTTTGGATGCTTACCTGCCGTGCGGGAGAGAATGCGTTGTGCTTCTGGATTGGGAGATAACAGGGAGATGGGTTACGCTAGAAAGTCAGGCATGGGAAGAGGCCATATCACCAAAGTCAAATGTGACAAACACAGGGCAAGAGGCCATCAAGGAACATCCGCCCCTGTCGGCCCCCTGTCCCTGTGCTGAGCCTGCGGCTGCCGCCAGGTGTCGGTAATCGACGCGCCGCTCCGTGCATGCGGGCGAGATGACGCCGCCTAGCCGGGCGGTGCGCCACCGCTCGCGGCGCCGGCTGGCCGCGCTCGCGTTCCTCTCCAACATCTCGCTGGACGGCACGTACCGCGACACAAAGATTAGCGGCCTCAACGCGCGCCGCGCCGCCGCCGTCGCCGACGAGCCTGCCGACGGCGCTGGCGACGGGGACGTCACAGACGCGGCGGCGCGCGAGGCGACGATGGCGCCACCGCCGCCGCCGCCGCCGCCGCCGCCGTCGTCGTCGGTGGGCCGCCTGCAGCGACAGAAGAGCATCGACTCGAGCAATGCTAGCGAGCCGAGCCGGGACAGGCTGACCTTCGACGTCGCTGGACACCACCGCGAGAGGTGAGAGCGCGTTGATGCGTGCGTGCGCGCATGCGTGCGTGTGTGAGGGGAATGGGGAAGTGTAGGTGGGTGGGTGCGTGGGGCTTGCGGGGCCGCCAGAGTGTGAACAGCTCAGCGGAGGACAGCCTGTGCAATAGTGCACGAGCTCAGCAAGTGACATTTTTCAGGGTGTTAGGGGTTGGTAGTATTAATGGGGCGGCGGAATATGGTGTCCGTCTCATGCAACGCTTGTTTTGTCTACAATTGATACCGTATAACTGCCAGATCTGACATCTGTTAGAATGATAAATATTTTCTTATAGCTGAGTATTCCCAGTACCCAAGTAAAGTCAGCTCCGGGATATTCTTTCGACATTACTAGTTCTGCTGTTTGACCACGCTAATCTGAGGCAAGCTCTTTACCAACACCATGGTGGAGGGATGGCGCAAAAAAGAAAGAAGAAAAATAGCGTGCAGGGGCGTTACCCAACGTGCAGACATTCCTGACCTTCTCAAACCTCAAACATGGATCTGCGAGAAACTTCACAGTTAAGCATCTCAGGCGCGTTTCAACCTGCATTTAGCGTTTCGGCCTTATTCAAGGAACGTTTATCTTGAACTTGATGACTTGCGTTGCCCGACGGGGTCAAAACAGCGCCAGTATTGGGTAAAGCTCATCTACCGCGACTTGGGTCTTGTGATCATCTAATGGAGCGAACGTAAATGACTCTGCGGCTATGTCAGTTTATCATCGGTTCCATGCTTCACTAAGCCCGCTCTAATTTTGGCGGCGGCTGTGGTATCAGGTGCGGCCCACGCGGCGCGCTCCATCACCCAGCAATGGACGTCGCGGCCGGGGAGTTCCGAAGCTCGTCTGTGTCCAGCGGGCTGGAGCAGGCTCAGCAGCCGGTGCTGGCCCCAATGCTCCCGATCTGGTATCTGTGACGTCGTGAAGCCTCGTCGGGCGGTATTGCTTGTCAGGGACACAACTCCGTTCGTGTGTTTGCGGCACACGGACGTTGTTGATTGGAGAATCTGCAGACTCATGTGCACCGTTCACGCCGGCGGCAGAAGGCGGCCCTCTGTGCTATGAAAGTGCAGCGCTCGCTTACGCCGCATGACCAGTGGTATGAGCGCCCGCGAGCCTAAATTCCAAGTCATCCCCATCGTCACGACTATTTTTATTCGATCATGCATAGTTAAGTAATATCGAGGTGGGGCGTGGCACCGGTGGACGAGTATCTTTACAGGTACATCGAACTGCATGGAAATCGTGTTGGATTGTGGATACGAATAGCTCCCTGCTTGGGAAGGCGACATGACTTTGTGAAACGGCTCATCGCTCCTTGTGGACTGCCTGATGTAACAACCAATGATCGCTGGAATGTGCGACCAGCGGGCAGTAGCCGTTATTCAGAAGCTGCACGCGCTCCATAGCCTTCACCGCAGCGGCGGCTGTCCCGGCCGTGGCTTGCGGCTCTGCTCCCGCGGTGCCCCTAGTTCTTCCGGGGTGCCCCTCACTCCGCGGTGCCCCTGACACTTTCTGCGTTGCCCACGACCCCTCCGCGGCGCCCCTGACCCCTCCACGGTGCCCCTGACACTTTCTGCGTTGCCCACGACCCTTCGGCGGTGCCCTGGTCCCCCGGTGGTGCCCCGGTCCCCCGGCAGTGTCCCTGACCCCTCTGCGGTGTCACTGGCCCGGCCGCGGCTCGGCCGTCGCCGCGGCCTCCGCCCGTCGCCGTGATCTCTCTGCACCCCACCCCCCACAGGTGTCAGACGGTGGGCAGTGAAGCTGACGGCAGGGTGCGCCGGCTGGTGCAGCAGGCCAACATCGGCAGCCTGCTGGACGACATGCTCGGCCACGGCAGCAGCAGCTGCGAGAGCGTCTGCGGCAGCGGTCAGTACTGACACCCGCCGCCGCTCCCGGCTGCTCTCGAGTCGCAGAAAAGCGGGCATACGGCCGCGCCCGCACTGACAGATTGCTGTTTTTTTTCTGGGATGGGGAGCGGTATCACTGATGGCTTCATTCGGAATTGTCGCCAGCGGTGTTGGACTGTCATTTATTGAAAGAAGCAGCTGCGGCATATGCTGAACTTGTCTCATTGCTGTGGCCGTGTCGTGCCTCAGACGGCGTCGGGCCCGGGTTTACCAGCCCGCCGGACGGGTCTGCGGCTGCCGTGACGGCGCTGGTCCAGCTGACGCCGTTGACGGCCCAGTCGGCGCCTGTGACCCACCGCTGGCCAGGCCGTCGCTCGGCGCCGCTCCGCAGACGGGGCCGGAGCGTCTGACGTCCGCCCCCCCCCCCCCCTCTTCCCCTCTCCCAGTCCGCAGCCACAAGCTGTGCGGCAGCGTGTCCGAAGTGTCGGCACCGGGCGTGCGGTTCCTGCCGGCGGCGCGCGACCGTGCCTGCTTCGGCGACGACCGGCTGGTGCTGGTGGGCGGCGCGCGGCTGCCGCTGCTGGTGCTCTCGTCGCTGCCGGTGGGCCGCGTCACGCGCCACGGCCGCCGGGAGCGGTGGGTGACGGGTGTGGTCCGTGCAGGCGCCGACTCTTGTGTGCTGCCCGTGCTGAGTTGGCAAACGCCGCGTAGCTCTGCGGTGGGCATGCCGATGTCCGACAGTCAGCCAGCGCTCGGCGGCGGGTGCTGCCATTCACTGAGCTGTACTGCTCTTGGCAGAGCGCATAGCATCCGCGACACTCCCCCTTCCGCAAACCGTTCTATGAAAGAGGGCTGTCTCGGCACTAGCATGGCTGTATGGGCGCGCCGGTCTCTGATGAGTCCGCTATCCAGAAACTTACTTTTGAGTTAAGTTCATCAAATGAAACAGATCGAAGGCATCGGTCCATCGTTCTCTGCTGTATCCCACCAAGCACGTCCTCCTGAGCCATCACGTATGGTGGCCGTCGCGCCCGAGCCGCCGCCCGGTCGGCGCCGGCTCTGCCAGCGGGCGACGGCGGGGCTGTGTGGCGCGACACCGACCGGGCCGCGTCCTGTCGGTAGGCACGAGCGCGGCGACCTGAACTCGCGGAGGCGCTACAACTCGGGCAGCCGCGCGCCGCTCTCCACCATCGCCGACCGCGTGGACGCCTTCTCGCTGCTGGGCATGGAGCCGCTGCAGGAGGGCCAGGTCAGCCGGGGCAGCTGGGCCCCGGGAGCGGGCACAGTGGGGCCCAAGCCCGTCGCTGAAGAGCATGCTGCTGCTGTAGATGGTCATTGCTCACGCGCTGTCATTAACATCCGGCTAGCGGGGGTGAGGCTATGCAGGCGTGCTGCTGGTGTATAAGGCGCACGTGGTGCGGTCTGCGCTAATGGTCCTCTGCCTCGCCGTCAGGTAGTGCTGTGACGACGCTCTGTCCCGCCGCCTGGAAGCGCTCTGACTCCTCTGCCCCGTTGTTAGGATGTGCTGTGACTATACCCTGCCCGCCGTCAGGAGGTGCTGTGACTATACTCTGCCCGCCGTCAGGAGGTGCTGTGACTATACTCTGCCCCGCCGTCAGGAGGTGCTGTGACTATACTCTGTCCCGCCGTCAGGAGGTGCTGTGACTATACTCTGCCCGCCGTCAGGAGGTGCTGTGACTATACTCTGCCCGCCGTCAGGAGGTGCTGTGACTATACTCTTCCCTGCCGTCATTAGGTGTCGTGACTATACTCTGCCCCGCTGTCAGTATGTGCTATGACTATACTCTGTCCTGCTGTCAGGAGATGCTGTGACTATACTCTGTCCCACTGTCAGGAGGTTTCATACAGCGAGCTTCTGCTGCCGTCCTCCGCCGGCGGCCGCCTGCCGCGCCGGCTCCACTCGGTGGAGAACGAGCTGGAGGCGGCGGCGGTCGTCCACCAGCGCAATGCCCAGCTCAGCCTGAACCGATGCGTGTCGCACGAGCCGAGCAGCGGTGGCCGCGCCGCCTCCTCCAGCTGGTCCAGTGACAGAGGTCAGTGAGGCGGCGCTCCTCACAGGTCAGCGGTGGTGACCCTGCTTGGTGTATGGTGGCATTCATCCTAGGTTAGTGTAACCACTGCTCCCAGATCAGCAGTGCATCCCGTCCCTGGACAAATAGTGCTGTCCCTCCTGGGTCAAAAATGTGGCCTGCTCTCAGTGCAGTGATGTGGTCCCCTCTCAGGTCAGGTGTGCCTGTCGCCCGACCTCAGTGCCGCTGCTCATACCATGTCTGCGGCTTCACACAGGCTGGGTAGGCCATGCCCGTCCCATGCAGGCCACCCCTGCCGGGTGGGGGGTACCATTCCTCCCAGGTCAGTGGTGCACACTCGCCCAGGTCAGCAGTGCTGCATCTCGCAGGTCACGGTCGGCTCAGCGTCCGTGCCGAGGGGAAAGACTGCTTGTCCCGCCTGTGGACCGGTCGAACCGCAATGGGCGGCCCGTTGTGACGCTGTCTCGAGGCGGCAAAACAACGTCCGCCATTCTGTGAGGGTTACATCAGCGCCCAGTGACGTCTGTGGCGCGTTGGCTCCGCGCTGCTGCCGGCACACGGGCGCCAGACTGCTGGCTGGCGTCAGCGGCGGCGCTGTTGTTGCAGTGGTGGATGAGGAGCCGGCTCAGGAGGCGAGCGGCGTTCCGTACGATCCGCTGCTGCTGGACAACCCGGAGACCCAGTCCGAGAATCACCGCACCGTGCTGACCTTCAGGTCGTACCGGGTCAGTACAGCCGGGGGAGGGCGACCTGGGGTCAGCCGTGAGACAGGATACCGCCGGTGACCTGCCGTGACCTGCGCTGGCCCGCGGGTCGGCGCGGCGGGCTGACGCTGGGGTCAGACTCGCTGGCAGTGCGGAAAGCTGGCTTTGTTTGGGTCGCACGGCGATGGTGCAAAAACCGACTGCCTTGAGCTGTATGGCCGACTGATCCGAAGCATGCCACGTGGGTGCTGTTGCTGGACACCCTGACGCCGCGCTGTCCGCAGTCGTCTATCATCGACTACATGAAGCCGTCCGACCTGAAGCGGGTCACCAACGAGCAGTTCCGCGAGCAGTTCCCACACATCCGGCTAACGCTTTCCAAGCTGCGCAGGTGAGGAGTGCGCCGCGCCCCGGCCCCGGCCCCGGCCCCGGCCCCACGGGTGACCGGCCCCTGTGGCGCTGCACTTAGATGGGAGGCGCTGCCGGCCGGTCCAGCTGCGGTGATTTACTGGTATTGCGTCGTGGTCTTGTTTGCGTTGGTATCGGGCGTTTTCCGCTGTGATCAGTGGTGTGATTATACTTCAGAGTGCGCGGATGAGCAGAGTAAGAGCATGCCATCTCCCTGTTTGTTCGGTCGGCGTTTCGGCTGTGAAAAAAGTCACGTGGAACGGAGCCGAATGCTCCAAGTCCGACCCAATACCTGTGGCGTGACCCCACCGCCGGGCTGGCTGTCGTCGTCGCGAGCCACGCTCGGCGCCGGGCCGCGCGGAGCCAGCCGTGACCGGACGGTGTTCGGACGCTGCAGCCTGAAGCGCGACCTACGTCGGATCGCCGCCGACTGCCATATCGACGTGCTGAGCGTGGCGCAGGCGCACGTCTACTTCGAGAAGCTGGCGCTGCGCGGCCTCATCGACAAGCCCAACCGCAAGCTGGTGGCCGGCGCTTGCCTCCTGCTCGCCGCCAAGATGAACGACGTCAAGGGAGACACCATGAGCCAACTGATGGAGGTGTGTGGCCGCGTCCGTCAGGTGGCGGGGTGCAGTGGTGGGCAAGTGTTCCTGTGACATCTGGCGGGTGTTGGGGTATAGTGGGGGGCAAGCGTCCGGTCACGTCTAGTCGGTGATGGGGTCTAGTGGTAGGTGAGTGAGGCTTTTGGACGAGACGAGGCTTTTCAGGGTGATATCCCTGCTGTTAGAACATGTTATATGCTGAATAACTGTTTGTCTATTCTGCCGCAGCTAGCTGGTTAGGTGCATCCCAGGTGTGGGTGCGGGCAGTGTGACGAGTGTTCGCCCACTGAACTCCATTTTGAACGCGGAAAATTTACTGAAAAGTATTTTGCTTGAAACGACGGAAATACTTGGCTCATTAAATTCTAATTTGTACATAAATCGGCGCCACTGGACGCACGCTTACCTGGCGCCGCTGGCCAAGTGTGGCTGTGTAGTGTGCGGAGTGGCAGGCCAGCCTTGGCTGCCGGCCCGTAGCGGACGCCAGCTGACCACGCCCACCCCCCGCGACAGCGCACCGAGACGGTATTCCGCATCCACCGGCGCGACCTCATCAACTGCGAGTTCGGGGTTCTGGTGGCGCTCGAGTTCGCGCTCCACCTGCACACAGGCGAGGTGGAGCCGCACCTGCGCCGCCTGGAGGCCGGACTCTGAGGCGACGGTGGCGCGGGCTGGTGGCCTCCGACCTACCACCTGAGGAGGACGGGAGCTGGTCTTCCGGTGGCGCCGTCTGTGGGCTGGGATCCGGTGCGACGAGAGCGCCGCTTGGAGGCGGGGCTCTTACGTTAGGCGGCGCTACTCTCCGACTTGGCTGCTTCTCGACGTGCAATACGTGTTACGTGCGTCGACTTCCGCTGGCTGTTGGCGCCGTTAACTGCTCTCAGCGGCGTGGTAGGGCGGGGCTGCAGGGCAGGAGTTCTGGTCCTTCCCGTCCCTGGACGGCGGCTGGATGACCCGGCCGGTGGTCGCGCCGTGCCATGCTCAACACACTGGCCGACAGGCCACGCCGCTGTAGAAGAACGCAGAAGCCTCTCGTGCGGGCGCAGAACCGGTGTCGGTGTACAGTCAAGGGCCGCCCGGTGATAGAGGCTCGTGGTCTCGCTGAGATTGGGGCGGGCGCCGGGGCGGCGCGCGGTCCGTCTGACCAGGTGGCTGGTCACGGCGGCTTTAACGACGGCTGGCGGATTGTCGGGGCCTACGGTCCTGATGAATATGTGGATTGGCGACGCCCGTCTTTCCCAAGTCAGGGTAGACGACGCGCAAGACGCGAAGAATGCGTTTCAGGTTATCTGAGAAACAGGTTGATCAAAATGTGAAGTGATGGCATGGGAGCGAATCGACGCATCTGCGCCACGTTTATTGCGCCGCTCCGCCCACCCGTCTGAGCTTATCGTCTTCGCTGCAGCCTTGTCTTTGCGTCAGGCCTTGGGAGATGATATGGATAGCCATTGCACCGATGGAGGATCGGGTGCAATATCGGAACAGTCACACAGCTGGGAGAGTTTTTAGACTTCATGTTATGAGGTGTGCTTCCAGTTGCGTTGGATGAGCTCGTTGCTCGTTGGACAGAGCAGGCTTCTGTGTCTGTCGGTGGGCTCGTGCACTGCGATATACAGTTACAGTGCCGTGTCGCTGACTGCAGTGTAGCAGTGTCGTGTCGCTGACTGCAGAGTAGCAATGTCGTGTCGCTGACTGCAGTGTAACAGTGCTATGTCGCTGACTGCAGTGTAACAGTGTCGTGTCGCTGACTGCAGTATAACAGTGTCGTGTCGCTGACTGCAGTGTAACGGTGTGGTGTCGCTGGTTGCAGTATAAGTGTCGTGTGGCTGACTACAGTATAACAGTGTCATGTCGCTGACTGCAGTATAAGTGTCGTGTCGCTGACTGCAGTATGACGGTGTCGTGTCGCTGACTGCAGTGTAGCAGTGTCGTGTCGCTGACTGCAGTGTAGCAGTGTCGTGTCGCTGACTGCAGTGCGACAGTGTCATGCCGCGGGCTGCAGTGCGACAGTGTCATGCCGCTGACTGCAGTATAGCAGTGTCGTGTCGCTGACTGCAGTGGTACAACATTTGCCAGGATTTTCTTGGTAGTGCCTGCGGGATCAACCTAGCTCTCCTGTACTTATTTATGCCGCGGTTAACGTATGGTGCGCAATAGCCTGCTTTCTGCGCCTCCACTTATCTGGATGGGCTGTGTGCTGCATGTGGAGCATCTACGTCGCTCAATATATCCTCAAGGGTCCTGTCCGGATTTGATTTGTGTTGCCGCTATGTTGGGGCGGACCAGGCGGTGTTGAACGCAACGCCACGCTGCGTGCTCGGCTGGCGGCTGCCGGTCCGGGCGGGAGCCCGTCACCGGTCAGCGACGCAGCACGGAAGCCGCCGACGCCGGCCTGACCGCTGCCGCTGACCTGACCGTCGCCGCTGACCTGACCGTCGCCGCTGACCTTACCATCGCCGCTGACGTTACCGCCGCCGCTGACCTTACCATCACCGCTGACCTGAAGGCCGCTGGTGACCTGACGGCCGCTGCTGAACTGACCGCCGTCGCCGACCTGGCTGTCGCCGCGCCGTTTTCTGTCCGGGAACAGGAGGTCTGGCAGTTCAGACCGACAGATCACCGGCGATTCAGTAGTCTTCGTCACGGTATGTGCCAAGATCCGGCAGTGTCGAAGGCAGCGAGAATCTCGCAGTCTCCGTCAGGGATTATTACCGGAGATTCAACAGCGCGCAGGCCCCTGGAGATCCGGCGGTCGCCGGCATTGGAGATGGGAATCCACCGATATACGTCGGGCTATCGGAGAGGCCAGGGTTTGTCCTGGAACTAGTGATCTGGCAGTCATCAGAGTAACCTGTCAGCGATTGAAAACACGGCGGTGTGCGGCAAGTAACAGGGGGGTAATTTCCGTCCTGGTGGCCAGGACGCAAAGCATCAACCTTGCATGCAGCAGCATGGGTTCCACCTTGTCGCCGTCAGCGAAGAAAGCGTATGTGGCGATCTTCTTCAAAGTAGCCAGACCTACGAAAAACTGAAGCAGTGCACAGCCAAAAGGACTGTATACTGGGGTGCAGCCATGATTTGCGACGGTAAGGGAGGACGTGCAGCCAAAACTTACGATGGTGATGTGGAGGACCACCAGAATTTAGTTGGATTCACTGGGTCCCGAAAAAACCGCGCGCGACCCCCACGGAACGGGGGGGGGGGGGGGCTAAAGCCTGTGAGCTCAGGTAGTGCCCAGCTTAGGCAGTGTTGTCAGTGCCCTTGGCTGCGCCTCTCATTAAAAAGCCCTCCTAACTGCTCCTTCCTGACTTCAGCATTGCCACAGGGTTTCACATTGGAGGCTACACAATTTCAAATCTATCACTGAAACTGAATTTGGCACGAAGCAGACACGTGCAGTTCCCTGCGTAGTTAGACAATATTGCGTATTCTTATCCTTCTTATTTTTAAATGTCTGTCAATATTAAGTCGCGCAAATATTACGTGCCAGAACTTTGGTATGGGGGAGGTAGAAGACATGTGACCTCGGGGCTACTATAGGTGCACACCCTGTCTACTCATGCTGGGTCGTCGCTCCCACTCCTTTATCAAGCTCTCGTCCTGCCTTCTGTTCGCTCCTGCATTACCCTTTGCAGCGAATCGACCTTTTGGAGCGTGGTTGCGTGGTTACTGAATCCGCCCGGTTTCACACTTAGCCATCAGTTACATAGATCTCTCCCCCCCCCCCCCCCGGATGTTAGACTCCGCCAGCGGTCGGCCGGCCGAGGTCACGTGACAGCCGCCGGCCGGCCGTCAGCCCTCGGGCCGGACTTTACGGGTCACGTGACTGGAAGGGGCGCCTCAGGCGCGTGACTGGCGTGGGCCGCAGTGCGGGCGTGTGACACGTGGGTGGGGGAGGGGGGGAGGGGGCCTCGGCCGTCGATAGCTCACGCGGTGTTGGGTCCGGAGAAAACGCCGCGTGACGTCACGACGCCATAATTACATTCCCCAGTGGGGCATGTCTGGAAATGGGAAGCGGCGAAGGGGGCGCTGAGACATGCGATTTACGTTTTCCGTAGATTTCACTGCGGACGCTACGGTAACTGTTTTCGAGCGTTACGGGACGAGGCACCCTAGCGCTCCCATGGTACTCACGGTATTGTCTCAGAGCGAAGAAGCCGGACCAGATCGCGGACGGATGCGTCGTCGGAAACGTTCTTCCGCCACATGGGAGCAGGGGGGGGGGGGGGGGGGCACAAGGCAAGTCGTACCGTCGTACTGTTCCGCCACATGGGAGCGTGGCGTGGCCACAGGGCAAGTTGGTCTGTCGTACTGTTCCGCCACATGGGAGCGTGACGTGGCCACAGGGCAAGTCGGTCCGTCGTACTGTTCCGCCACATGGGAGCGTGACGTGGCCACAGGGCAAGTCGGTCCGTCGTACTGCTCCGCCACATGGGAGCGTGACGTGGCCACAGGGCAAGTCGGTCCGTCGTACTGTTCCGCCACATGGGAGCGTGGCCACAAGGAAATGTCGACACGTCGCCCCGACTTTCGTGGAATCTAGCATTGCGCCGTGATGAAAAAAGTCTCTACAAACCCTGATGTTCCGTTTTCGGGCCGGGGGTGAAGCAGCTGCGTGGCGATTTGCTACTGTGGTGGCATCTAGCCGAACCATCTCCAAGACCAGCATCTTCTCATTTGTTCTAATCCAAGCTGAACAAGGAACAAGATGACTAGCCGATGAAAGCTGGAAGGCGAGCCGTCAGTTCAGCTGGAGGAAAAAGTGGCAAGCGTGTACACTCATGGAGAGTGGGTGACGGAATTATTGCAAGCGGCGAAAGGGGAACTGGCAAAGAGCGAGATCCAGAGACCGGCTCCCAACCGGCTGGATCGGCAGAAAGGAAGATATTCGGGTGGTGGGAGAGCTAGAATGAGCCGGAAGACGACAGAATGGAGCTCAGCTTGGACTGCATGGTCGTTCGTTCCGTTGAATAATGCAAAGTTCATGCAATTCTGACCGCACGGGCTGCCAGACGGACCGCTCTCCCGCCAGATGAGGTTACTGCCACTGCCCTCCCGCCAGATGAGGTTACTGCCACTGCCTCCGACGCGAACGCATCGGCTTAAAATAGAGCCTGACGCTTCGGCGGACGAGAGCGCGTGTCCCAGCAGCACGCAGCTGCCGGCCTGTGACGATCGGCGGACCAGGTGTCGTTAGTCGCAGGTCGCTGTCCGTCATTGAGACTGAGTCGTGTTCATCAGGTGCCGGGCTGTGACGGTCGGCGGACCAGGTGTCGTTAGTCGCAGGTCGCTGGCCGTCATTCAGACTGCGTCGTGTTCATCAGGTGCCGCCTCGTTCTGGGCGGTGCCGTTCTGCGGTGGTCCCAGCGGGGACGAGCAGACTCGGTGCGTCTGAACGGCGGACGCCCGGTCATGACGTGCGCCGCTGAGTTATGCCCCGCGCCGCTAATAACAGACCATTACCGCTGCGGGTACCGTGGACTCCAGTGCGGGCCGGGCACGTGCGCAATACGTTCTCAGCATGGTTTCACGCTTACCAGAAGGGAATGAGAGAATGTAGGGATGAGGGAATGCAGGGAATGAGGTAGATAACACCGAGGCAGAGCCTTTTTGTGCCTCTTCGATCGCTGTGCTGCCTATCGGATTTGCAGCGT